TAATTGAATCTTATGAGTCACGATTTGACAGTTTCCTGGTTTTTCTGAAAAACAAATGAGAAAAATTACTCACCACTTGCTGTATTGCTTTACTTTCCTGGTCATTCAAGATGGCTAAGGTCCACTTCAGGTGTCTCCACAGGTTCCACCACCCTCTGGTCCATCTCCAACACCACGGAACTATCTTGAAAATTTAATTTGGCCCTCGCGGCCCTTAGAAAGTCCATACCTAAAATAAGAAGAGAGTGTTGCAGGTGTTTCACCACAAAAATTAATACTTTGAGATTTTCCTCTTTTACCTGTAAGTTTAATGATAATTTCCCGATGCAGTGACATGTTTTTCCTTGCGCCGCTATAATTTCCGAATTTCTGGTTTTAAATAGTCGTATCCTATAAAAATTCTTTTTGAAGAACTTTTCACTCATGAAATTTCCTTCTGCTCCTGTATCGATGAGGGCTTCTACTGGTACATCGCCAACCAGGACTTGTATAATTGGTAGCTGTGAGTTTTTCGCGATGACCGTGTTTAAATGTCTATTTGAGGGGTTTTTCTAAAACTTCCGGGGTCTGGACCCTCCCTTTCACAGGCCCCTCTAGTCGTTTAAAGCTTCCTTTCAATCTGTGTCTTCTGGAGTTGTTCTTTTCCCCCTTCGATCGGTTAGCTTGATAGTTCTTTCCCCATTGAGCGGTTTCCTCCTTCCTTCGGGTATGTTGAGAATATGTTTCCCTCTCGCTTTTCCGCTATTCTGCGATTTTGAAACTTCACCGCCAATTCGAAAAGTTCCTGCAATGTGCTTGGGTTTCTAATTTCAAAGTAGTCTTGGACAGCGGGTAACAACCTTGGTAATATTATTTCAATTATCTCCGCATCGGGTTTTCTTTACCATACAGCATATCCGTTAGCTTGATTTTTCGTAAAATAAAGTCCGTCAATTGTGCTGTATCCGTTGATAGAAACTATATATTCGGCTTCCAGCCGTGCGCGGTCTTTCACTATGGGGAAGGCCTTTACTAACGATTTTTTGAAATTTCAAATGTATACGTCGGGCTTCCAAATTCACCTAGAAGAAATTTGCCTATATTTTCCACCATAGCGCGGCCTGTCCTCTTAGTGCTGATGTGGCGATGGCAACTTTTTGTCTTTCAGGCACCAGGGTAGAGCTGTGAAGTGGTTTTCTAGACCTTCGAGAAATACCGCCACCGAATTTTTTCCGTCGAAATAGACGTTTGGCTTGATTGCTGCTCTCAAAGTCTGGACCAGGTATCCAAATCCTTCTAACTGCGTTGTCATTTCTTGGTGTTGTCCAGCGGCTTCCATCCAGTTTTCGGCCATTTCAGTTCGATAATTGTTCGGGCGCCAATATAACGTTGCGCGCCTCCAACTTGCACGCAACCAAGAGGTGACTGTGAAAACTTGTATAAAGATAGAGCCTTGTGAAGGGTTTAAGTCCCTTTTTATTCAACGTAATAAATTACAATTGCGTCCTCTTGACGCTTACAGACTGTGCCAACTTGGCAGTCAAATAAAAATAATAACCTGAAAAGAAAATAAAGACAAGATTCTAACTACGAGGCTCTCTAAAATAACTAACTCGCCGCGTTTTACAATACCGCTGCTAATTCAGCAGACTTGAAGCTCACTGGAACGATTACCACTACTTCCCGCCAAGCACATAGGCCGCAACGCGGGGTTCTTCAATTCTCGCTAACTACCTCCGCGCTCGCTAAGTAAGAAAATCTCACACCGAACTTGTTTCCTTCCTATTTAAATCAGAATACTTCCGCTGATAATTTGAATGCTTGCGCGTTCTACTCAAATTTACATATTCTGGCATTGGCAGTTCCAGGAGAAAGTAAGGCTTGACAGGAAAGATAGTTTAAACTTAAAATAAATGTTAGTTAAAATAAATATAAACCCTACAATGTTTCTTATGTTTTAGGTGATTTTCCTTATTTCATATATATTTAAAGAATACAGTAATACGAGGGCTATCCAGAAAGTAGATTACGTTTTGGAATAAAAAAATAAACAAAGTATAGGAAACAAATTTTATTATATACAGATGAAAGCCACACTCAAATACTACTTTGCTACATAGTCACCATACAAATTAAGGCATTTATCGTAGCGATGTACGAGCTTGGAAATTCCTTCGTCGAAAAATTCGGCCGCCTGCGCCTTCAACCACTTCGTTACCTCTTCTTGCAGCTGTGCGTCGTCATCAAAACGCTGCATACCAGCCACTTCTTCATTGCTGGGAATAGGTGGAAGTCGCTCGTGCAGGTCGGGACAAACTTCGCGAAATTTGTGGAAAACTCAAAGAAAGTTCCGTTATTGTGAAATTTCGATTTTCACGGACTTTAGCATCGACTTTTTCGAGAAGTTCGGCGGTCACTATGCTGGGTCTCCCACTTCGATCTTCGTCGTGAACATTGGTTCGGCCATTTTGAAATCTTATGACCCACTGACGCACTCCACCTTCAGTGATAATGTTGTCCCCATACACTTCACGAAGCTGCCGATAGATTTCTATCGGTTTACAGTTTTTTTGCAGTCAGAAACCTTATTACGAGCGCACCTCGCAGCTCGCGGGATTTTCAATTAACGCAGACATTTCAAACCGTCACAGTATCTGAACGGAGCACAGCACGAACCTCTCACTAGCACGGCTAGATGCAGACTGAGCTGCGCAACGCTCTGACCCCAAGATGGCCGCGCTAGCCCCGCCCCTAGCGGACACAGACGGAAACGTAATCTACTTCCTGGATGGCCCTCGTATGTATGTATATACGTAATGGTTGATTTCGGTTAACCTGGTCTACGTACGTAGGCTTCCAGCTACAAAATTTTTGCTGATTTTATTACTTGCGAAATACAATGAAATAAGTCGTCGTAGATGTGTTGGACTGACCATTTCAAGTCTTTCGAGTGGTGATTTTCCCTCCACATAATTTTGTGCTCTTCGGAAATATATGAAATTATTGAAGCTACGTAAATGTTCAGTTTTAAGAATCTCAATTCTGAGTTTTAGCTTTTTTGGAAAAATCAACTAGCCTTACTTTTGCTTTTCTATGAAGTTAAAAAAATAAAGTGAAATAACATAAAATACTTTGTTTCTGTGGCGCTGCTATTTTGTTTTATGGATCGGTTTGCAGCGAAGCATATCAACACCAATCCCCATACCCTCACATCCCTTTCAACGGAAAGTGACTTATCACTTAACTCGCTGGAGTCTACATTCTTTTAGGAGTGAAAGAAAAAAACGTGGAATTTGACTCCTTTGCTTTTCACATTGAGGGGGAGGCCATCTGTTTACCGTCATTCCCAGTCAGGTGGCCCTGTGGTACTCCCCGCCGTGCGATGAACCCACTCTTCTCTTTTCCCATAATGGCTAGTCTCCATTGGTATATTAATCCCACTTGTTGAGATAAATCCCTTCAATGAAGTGTATTTGGAGGAGAGAATTTGTTATCCATTCTGCGGTGATAATACGAACTGCATAAAGATAAGAATATCCGCTATTTGGAGGGTCCTTTCCCCTTGGATTTACCACACAGAGCTTTAAGTTTCCCACCTTAATAGCTTACCTGTTAAGTGTTACCAGCTGGGAATATTTAGATGCAAACAAAAATTACTAGGGTTTTGAAACACAAATATATTTTTCAAGTATATATATTTTCTAAGCCCTCTATGTAGGGTTTCATTTATAATCAAACGCCGGATGTTATACTAAAAGATGCAAGGTCCTCTGTGCCAAAATGCTTTTTACGTGACTGGAAGTTTTATTGAATCATACAAAAAAGTGAGCACACGTGTGAGTCGCGTGTCAGCCACACGACGCATTGTTTGCAAGTCCCAAAAAGGGCTTTTGCCCGCCGAACCGCATCGAGATCAGGTTAAATGTTTCTTAAACGTATCTGCAGCGTCTTTAATTCGGCACGCTCCACCGACGACGACATCCGGTGCCCGAAATTTTGTTTTGGAAGACAAAACGATTATCCGATCCTATCTTTTGTGTTTTCAGTTTCACCGATTTATGGACGGTAGTCCCATGTAATCTGCTTTCACCATCTAGATTAGAGTTCATCTGTTTAAATGCCGTCGTGGCTCCACGCCACTCATTAAAACAATTCATCTGATTGACAAGAGGATGCAGAATGCTTTCTGCCTACCTAAGGGGACAGATAGTCTTTATAACTTCCAACCCCCTGCCCCCGAATTGCAACTGATTTACTTATATAGTGTAAAGTTGTGATGTACTGGACGAATTATCAAAAGCAGTATTTTAAAAGGTGAATTGTAGTGAGCCTGATGGAATTCTGAGAAAAGAAGATACATATCTGAAGGTTTCTACGACGAAATCGGAATGATGTTTTATTATTCAGTTGACATTTAACTAAACAGATTTCCTTGACTATTGCTATCTTAGGAAAGAGTATCAGAAGTGGTAAACCCACACTGTCTGTTCAAAGGTTCCTTCATACTGGCATACAGATCAAAGATGTTGACAAAGGTTTCATTTTGGCAAGTTCTTTTTATGTTTTAAAGTAAATTCATAATACTTTTTCTTAAAAATTCAACGAACACCAAGGTTTCAAGGTAGAAGCTTTGAAATTTAGATTTTGAAATTTTTGCCTTTTTATGTAAGAAAAGCTTAATTTATCTTATTTTGTTCTGATCACATGGATAAACATAATGTGTATATAGAACCAGATTAAGACATTCTGGAACTCTAATCTTAACATTCTTTTAGTGCCCAGAATTAATTTTAATTTCCCACAGACCTCCCCCCCTCAGCGGTAATAAAGACCTCTGGGGGTCCGTAGAAATGACTTTGGGAACCACTGATTTAGAGACAAGCTGGGACAAATAGCAAAACGGGACTGAGTAATGAAATACGGTAACAGTCCCATATATACGGAACGTATGATAACCCTAAGTATATGATCATAAGCCAAAATAGTTATTAATTTTCTTTATTTTTATATATATTTTGTAGGTTCTCTGGCATTTAGACATTTTTCGTAGAAGTTTCAGAGAGCTTTGTGGACATGCTTGCATGGAAGATTCATGTATTTTTTGTGCGTTAAAGGTGAATGTTTTTCTAATTTTATTTTTTAAAATTATTTTTAAAAGGAATCTGTAGAACATGTGCATTTATTTTCGAACAGAAATTTAAATAACCGAAATATGTTATTTCTTTTGTGTTTTTAAATATCATGCTTGAAAAATAAGTATAGAACTGTAATTATATAGCTGTGTAACTTTGGAAAAATTGATTTTGATAAAGTAAGTTAAAGTTTCTTAGATGAAAAGAAATATATCATCTCCAATTTGAAATTACACAAAATCCAATCCTATATTGATGTTAGTTTTAATAGAAAAGCTTTGAGCATTTTGAGAAAATCTGTCATATGCCTTTCTTTATAAAGAAGCAAAAATATTTAACTTAGTTTTAAAAATATAAATTAATAAGAAGAAAGTAGGAACAATTAATATCACAGTTTATTAAACAAAATAGAAAAGAGTTTAAATGTTTCCAGATAAAGCTTTTAAAAACTTTGTGATAACATGATTGGAATTAAAATGTGATAACTAAAGTGGATAGATTCTGAGGAATGTGAATGCTTTCAAGATATCCAGTTCATTAACAGGTTCCATGTAATCTAGTGAAATTAATATTAAAAAGAAATCAAGGAGTGAGCAGTTATTAGCATTGAAAATTTTTTTTTACATAATAGTAAATATATATCGGAAATTCTATTTGACATAATCGGAAGTTCAAGCTTACTTTTATAAAAATTGCTCCAACAGTCTGCAAAAAAAATAATAAGCCGGATCCAATTCGAAGATTAAAGAACAACGCGCAATCTGCAACATTAACTGAAATAGATAATTAGATATAATTTCGCTTATACCGTCCGTTATACATTAAACGCGCATGCGTAAACGTATTATGCGCATGCGCACATGTATATTCGCAGCCGTAAAGGTCTTATGCGTAAACGCCTATGCGCATGCGTGAACGCGAGGCATGCGCAGAAGGTTTTTAGCTTTGAGGTCCGGATTATAGATCATTCCGGATTATGGGTGTCCGAATTAACGACTTTTGACTGTATTATAAATTCTATAACTAAGAAATCTGATATATTATTTGGATTAGAACTGGGTGATGAACTTGATTAACTGGAGAGAAAAGTAGTTTAAAGCTGAACATGCTAAGAAATTGATAATTTTTTTAGCTAATAATAATTTATAGCTGTATTTATGCTGTATTAAAAATATGATATTAATGTTTTATGGACAAACTGTTAACTCTGTGTATAATTTCAGGAACTCTTTGCCCAGTTTCAGTACAGTCAGGAGTCTGCTCTTCCCCCTGATGCATTACGACGGGCTTTAGCTGAAACATTTTGTGATCAAAGACGATTCCAGCTGGGGTTCATGGATGATGCAGCCGAATGTTTTGTTAGTTCTCTTTTCGTATTTCTAAGTTATTCTTTTAAATTATGTGTAAAGTCATCACTAAGGAAAATGTTCAGTTCTTAAATTTTTGCAGCGGCTTTCTCTTAATACTTAATGTAGTGATATCTCTTTTTTCAGGAGAATATTTTAATGAGGATACATTTTCATATTGCAAATAATGAATCTGAGGATATGTGTAGTGCTATTCATTGCATTCCACATCAAAAATTTGCAATGACTTTAGTTGAACAAGTAAGTCTTATACCTATTTAAACAAAATATTTGAAACTATTATTATTTGTATTTAAAAGTTTTATTAGTGTATATAGTATATGCAGTTTCATATTAAAGTTTTCTGAACAATGCCACTTAATCTTTTTTTTTTTTTTTTTAATTTTATCAAATCTCAAAATGTAAATATACTAATGATGCATAATATTGTTATGAATTTTGTATAATGTAACATGAATGGCTTTACAAAAAGCCAAGCTTTGCCAAAAAAAAATAAGATTTCAGGGGCAAACATTGAGGTAAATAGCTATCTCAATAAATTGGTGAGACCGGGCTGGCAATGGTTTTGATGACTAATTTTTGTTGCTGATTTGGGAAAAATTGCCAAAATTCGCCAAACATGGCGACTATTTGGTGATATTTGGGTCTGGTCCTTGTATAACTGTAATTGGTACTGTAACTGTAACCATATCCGACCTTTATATGTAACTTTATGCTCTCCAGCTATTTTGAGAAATGGAAGGTACTGAAAATTCCTTGGTGGCTGGGATTAAACTATATAAGACTGGAGAGAGCAGAGCATTAAGTTCTTAGGTTTCAGTTTGGAGCTGACTATGGAATATTGAGAAATTTCCATGTAAGCTTCACTCTTTAGATGCACTTTGCATTAAATTGTATTTAAAGCTCTTAGTAATTTGAAGTGGTAACTACTGATTGTACTCTGTCATGCTGAGATGAGCTGTACGAGTATTGGGAAAAGTTACAGAATGGTAAAGTGTTTCTTTTGGGAAGATAAATTTTATCAAGCTATCATCGGTTCTGTATGCATTCAATCCATTATGAATCCATTTACAAGCAACAGTATATTTGAACAGGCTATACTTTTTGTAAAATGTTCATGCATTTTTTATATTGGTTTTATCTTTGTATGTACTTTTTAATTTTATGATATATCCATTTGCATAATGATATAGGAAAGTATAAATTGACAGTGTTGTATAAAACAAAGTAGTTTTTAAAGCATAGCAAATTTTAAAAATAACAAATAGTGGTTGTACGTAATGAGTCCCATAATTTTCAGGGCTTATTAGGAAGAAAAAAAAATATATATCCTCTAATGAGCAAAAAGTTAAGCTGCTTTTCAAACATTATACACCAGAATGTATTCCTTGTATATTTATTATCTTATTACAGGGTAGATGCAGGTTTTCAAAGCACCACTGATAATCCTTCTTTCAGAGAGCTTTGGGAAACAACAAGTGTACTTTTTATCTGTGTATGATCATTGAAGTCTTCCTGGCTGTCCTGAAGTCATTTCAGTTATTGACAAATATGGTATAATGTCAGATCGCAAACGCATCACTTCTTGAAGAGTTCAGTTCATGAATAAATTATCTGAATGAAAAACACCTTGGATGTTGAACTGTGTTTTGAGTAATATGGATTTCAAAAATGTTTTGAGGTAATCTGTGCCATATAATTAACACTTAGGGACATCTGAAAACATCATTTTGATATTTTTCATTGTTTACCTCTCATTAACAAAGCCCAGCAAAAAATGTCTTCGTAAGATCATGAATTTGGCTTGGAGAAAATTATGAAGAGTTTGAGTTGCAGGCAGATACTTTAACACTTTAACACTTAGGCAAGAGCTAGATTTAGTACTTTAACAACTTAGGCAAGAGCTAGATTTAGTACTTTAACACTTAGGCAAGAGCTAGAAAGTTAACACTGAAGACATGAAGAAGTTACTAAAAGCCCATGAAATTGAGCTTAACCAGAAAGAACTACAAGAAATTTAGAAGCAACAACAAAAGATGATTAGGGAAGAAATGTCTTCAGGAGAAGAAGAAGGGTGAGAAGTAATCTTACTTCTGTAATCCATCTAACTAGCTCAAAGTAGGATAAGATGTAAAGTTTTCTTTTAAAAGTATCACCTGATAATGCAGTAATAAACAGCAGCTGAATCATTTTCAGTGACAGTGCCATATCTAACTTCAGAAACAATTTAAAACGTAACTAACAACAAATATCATTGGACAAATTTTAACTGAAACAGAGGCCCAGTGAATCTCAGACAGAGTTGACTGGACTTTAGAGTCAAAGGAAAATTAAAAGAAGATACCTTCTAAAGACAGTTATGTGGTGTTTTAATAAAAGGATTATCAATCATCCAAATAATAACATTGACATTCATGTTTCTAATATTTTAGCATATGGTAACCATCAGGAACAGATAGGGCTGAGGTGATCATCATTATCAAGTTGTAGAAAGGTGACAGCACCTTTTTGCAAATTGCCCCGTTTGCCAACATATGAGGGTATCATGACGAAACAGAGGTACACAGCACTCTTAGGAAGTTCAGCTTATATAAAAAAGAATGCAGCCTTCATCAAAATGCTAGGATATCATTGTCAAAGGGCTTCTTTATCTTCGCAAGTAGTCACCAACTTGCATAAAGGTGCTGGTGTTCTTATGGCAGGGCATTCTTATGAATTCATCACTGTTATAGCATGGAAATTCCCTGCTTTTATGCTATGGAATAAATTATGTTTATTCCATCAGTTATGAATTTCTGATGTGCTAACAACCAAGGGGGTTAAGACAGTAGGTTTAGTGCATTGTGGGGTATTCTATTGAGTATTTTTCTTTCAATGAGTTTATTGTTTTTGTTCTTTATGAATTCTAAAGTTATGATAGATTTTTATTCATTTTTAAACCATCCATATCAAGTAACAAGGTGGCAGTATGGTCACCAGTATTCCTGAAAATTTCCTGAATTCTTAATAGATTCATCTGATTCTGGTACCTGGAGAAACTATAACTTTTGAAATTCCAAAAACATAAAGTCCCCTTTTGAATTCAATTAAGTCACCTGTCTTATTGCAAAAGATGTTGTGTTGTTGGAGAATATAGCCTCTTAATGGAACCACAGATTTCAGTAATATTCAAATAAATCTTTACCTTGTTTTATAAGTTAGCTAGGAAGAAATGTGTGATTTCACAATCATTCAATTGCATTGGTTGGTCCTGTGAAGGATTGGGGACATAGGCAGAGCCAGATTTAGACTTGATAACGCCCTAAGCTATTTGAATTATGGAGCCCTTTATAAGTATTTTATATTATATTTTAATACTATTTATACTATATTTTGATTTTTTGGTCTTAAGCTATAGTTTGTATAGCTTATACTTAAATCCAGCTCTGGACATAGCAATGATGTATATAGCAAACATTTTGCCTTTTGTAATGCATTTTATATTAGGTGTCCACCGATAACATCTCGGCAAAAACACCGCGGACGAAAACGTCGCGGAGAAAACAACGCAAGGCGAAAACGTTGTGCTACAAAACATTGGGGAAAAAACATCGCAGTTCTAAAACATCATGGTGCAAAATATCATCGTCGAAAATAAAGCGGTTAAAAAAATTTGCAATTTAAAAACATCGCCGACGAAAATATCAAGGTAAAAAATAAAGTATCTACAAATCATCGCATGAAGATAACATCGCAGACATGCTTTTTTCAGACTTTAATAATTGTAAATGGATATTCCCATGATGATTTGTGAGCGCAAGATGGAAAGAAGGGTAATTTTTGCTTTCATATTTTTTATTCACTAAGTAATTTTTGCTGATAAAGTAAGAAGAAGGAAACTTAAGCATAGAAAATTCATGCAACATATAGCACTTAATAGAATGTTAAACCGACATACTAGTTAACTATCTAAGGTCATTAATAAATCATTTTTTATAATTTATTACTGGTAATTTTTCATGAAAAGTATAATCTAAAAAAGATTATAAAAAGGAAGGTAAGTAACTGCATGACGTTAAATAGGAGAAAATTGCTAAATTGCTAAATTATGAGATTATATTCTTCACTTTTGTTTTAATCTAATACTCTTATAGTGAAAATTATTTCTTGTTTTGTTTCAGTTTATTCTTGCAGCGTGCAGTCAGTTACTTGAATGTCGATTTGCTCGTTATGACGAAAATGAGCTATATAATATTTCAGTAGTGTTTGGATTTATTAGATTATGCCAAAGCACACTACGGCTATCTGCTTAAGGGATGGGATTCCTTTGTGGGGTACATTCTCAGGAACTGGTTCATATGCACATTATACTTCAGGAAAATCACGAAAATCTTCTAGCACTTTAAATGTATTACTTAATTTTTCATATACATTTTATTCGAAAGTTTCGTAGTTACTTATTAAACTTACAGTGACCAACTTCCTAAGACAATTTTTAATGTTTTTCTTACCATGTTTTTTAATTTTCAGAGTATTTTAATTTATGCACTCCAGAAATCTATAACGAAATTAAAATTAATATTTCTGAATTTCTGAGTGAAATTCTATTTTGTGGCGATTCTTTGTCATCGGAATTCTTTGCCAAGCAACTTTGAAGCGACTAATTTTTCTTGTAAATTTTTAATTACAGATAAAATTTAATGAAATAAAAACTTAATCAAATTTCTCTTATATAATTTTTAATTTTTTAATTTTTAATTTTTAATAATGCACATATTGTACATTGACTTTTATTTTCAGTGACTGAAACGTTTCACATACAATTTTTTGTATTTAAATGAGAAACTGTTTGGAATAAGAAAATGTAACATTTTTATGTAACATATGATTTTGAATAACAATCATAACTAAATTTTAAAATCCGGGTTCGCTTCGTTGCATGATTAGTTTTTAATTAAATTCACCAGAAAGAATATTTTTTAAATAAATTGAAAGTATTTAGTGCTTTTACGCATTAAAATATTGGAAAAAGATATCTTGAAAGAAGGCATGTTAATTTCCATATTTTACATTTTAAATCAAAAACAAAAGTAACTTTTTGTTTTAATAATTTTACAAATCTTACAGTTTTTCTTCATCTGTAATTAACTGTAGTTTTACTTTCACAGTTCATAACAATAAACAAAGATATACCGTGAATTGACTAAATCAATGAGAAGTGCGTTATTAGGTAAATGCAGAATTCAGTTTATCCATGTACA